GTAGTTTCTTCATCCCGTTGGGACATGTGATACGCCCCCTTACTGTTGGTACGACCTAGGTGCATCCTCTTACACTTCGTGACATTGAATCTTGGCAGCCATTCCCTCGACCATTCTTGAATCTCACAGCGATCTTTCTGTAGCTCTTCACAGTCTATTTGTTATTTAATTTCCCTGAATAACTTGGCATCGTCAGCAAACATTTGTATGGAGGAGTGTATAGCTTCTGGCATGTCATTTATGAGACAAACAAACAACAACAGGCCCAATACACTGCCTGTGGTACCCCGCTTGTCACGGGTACACATGATGTTTTCGTACCATTAATCACCACACACTGCTTCCGATCATGAAGAAAGTCTGATCCACGATAGGACATTAACCCCAAATACCGTACCCTTCCAGTGTAATTCTCAGCCTTTCATGGGGTACGCTGTCGAAAGCCTTGGCAAAGTATTGGTATATATTGTCAATATTACCACCCTGTTCCAGAATTTGAATCCAAACATCCAATATCTTGAGTAATTGTGTTAAACAAGAGCGTCCCGGCATAAAACCGCGTTGGCAGTCCTTTACAAGGTTGTTTCGTGGATGTTCCATCATGGCATCTCATATAATACTCTCTAATATTTTACACACTATATTGGTCAGGCTCACTGGTCGTAACTAAAACAAAAGGATGGATAGAAACGGAAAGGATTTTTTTTTATAAATTTATTTATCCATGCTAACGTGTTGTGGGGTAAACGTTGACTTTACACCTTGGCTGAACACCGATTTATTGCCTGGTTTGTGTGTGTCTGGAGGTGGGGATGGGGAGGGATGCACCCAGTGAAATTGCCGGTTAGGAATTTCGAGGCCGCCAGAATGTGCGGCGTATTCATGAGGTAGACTGTACTTTCATGTGGAGGCAACTGTGCTTTGGTACAAGATATGATATTTTCTTTCAACAAATTATTCTTACGGGAGACGTCATCAGACGGACACAGTGATGCCTCTATTCAATAAATCAGTTACTTGTTCACAGGTTTAAACACTGTGTTGTTTACTACTTTGGCCGATAAACTGGCCTGGGACATCGAACAGCTTTCAACAAAATCCTCCCACAACTGGTGCCATTAAGTAGGGACATTTGTGTATCCCATTGTAAGAGTTGACGGAGGTGTTGTGTTAAGAGTGACCGGATTTATATTTCATGACATAAAGGAGGTGTAGTGTGATGGGTGTGATTCTTGACATCCATCATCATTTATTTTTTGCAGGTGTGAAAGTGTTCTCTTACACCCCCAGGGAGCTACTGAGGTGCTCTGACAGATACACAGTGGAATCTCATAGACATATTGTGTCTCAAGATTGTTTTAGGAATAACCCAGGAAAGAATTCAACCCCTTGGGGAAAAGATGCGTGGAAGAGTTGTAGGAGATGCCTGGAGGAGGTGAAGGAGAGAGAAAAGTGTGAAGAAGGGAGAATACATAGTGGCCGAGGAGGAGGGAGGGGTTGTTGGGATTAGGTGAAGTGTGTGAAGGTCAGATTAATTAAAGGAAACAAAGGTGTCATGTTCATATTTGACCATTTAATAAATAAAATTATAAATAACATTGGAGACTTCATTTAGCCGTAGGCAGGAGCTGGGGTGTAGGAGGGCTGGGATGCAGGGTACTGAGTAGGGTGTGTCAATTTTGTCAACATGTTAAAAATCAAATTTGGTAGTCAAAATATTGTGCCTCTTTATGTCTAAACTTGAGATTAGCAAACAAAAATGAATTGAAATAACCCTCACCTACATCAATTATACCTTAAAGTTTCAAATATCTGTATTTCAACAAATTAATGAGACTTGATTAGAATTATTCACTTGATATTAACTAATCTCATGTAAGCATATGGATTATGGAGTATTTTATGGTTCTATAGCTTGTGTACAATATGCATGTCAGAACATGAACATGAACAGGCTCTCCGTGTGGGACAGTTTAATTCTTGTTTTGACTTGTACCAAGCGTGAGGATAAGGCGCCCGGCTCACTCTCCTTCTAGATATCATAGACGGTGGTTTGCTCTCATTGCACTTGCACCTACTCTACCAGACGAATTCTACATTTTAATTATTGTAAGTAGGGCATATTGATTGTCGCAGTTACTTATATCATTGTATAAAACATTATGTTCTAAGAAATTATTATGTTATTTCTGTTACAGCATTTTTGATAAACAAATTGATATTTTTTGAAACAACAATTGAATTATGAAACATTGAAATATTTTTCTATTTGTCAGATAGTGTGAAGATGTCAAAATTGAAGACAAGAAGTCAGTTGTCAACCCACTTGAGCCTGCTAGTTGGTAAAGGGAAGGAGCTTCCTGTATCAGAACTTCCAACAGTGAGAGACATGCTAAGATTAGGGTTACTCCTTCGAGAAAAAAATGCAAAGGACAGAAGGAACTATACAGATAAAGAACTCATAAATGACATGATAGTCCCTCTTCTGCATCAATGGACAAAAGCTAATGCACTATTCAAACCACCTGTGATTAATCAGAGTCGAACTATTGAGCTAAAACTAACGAAATTATGGCACAAAGCAGTTGAAACATCACTTGGTAAAGGAAACGTGGCCAGGAAAAATGAATTTCTGCACACACTTGATACTCTGTTTGACATTTTGACCTGCAAGTGCTCCATACAATTATGTTCTGAATCCAACTGTTCTCACTCAGGTAAGAGAGAAAATAATTCCCACATTGATTGTGGTTGTCCTCGTGAAAAGAAGATCCCTGTTTTAGAGCTTGAATTTATAAAGGCACAGAGGACAAAGGCAGAAGGCCAAGGAAGTATGCAAATGGGTTCAATAGATTATTCAGAAACAAAGAAGCAGATTGCTAATGCCAAGAAGAGAGAACAAATCCGAGAGAGGGAACAAAAGAAGAAAATGAAGAGTGAAGAAGCCATCCAAAGAGAGGAAGAGCTGTGTCAAGATGTTTATCACTTCTTTGATAGTTCTTCTGATGAACAGGAAGCAACATCAGATGATAGTTCCAAAGAGCCATCTGAACCTTTACCAAAGAAAATGAAATACAACACAAGAAATATTTCAAACATTGCTTTAGCTAGTATTCGCCACCATGCTGGACTTCGTGAGGCTGCAGAAATTGCAACTGCCGCTTGGATAGATGCAGGCCTCATCAGCCGAGAGGATGTATCTTTGGTGATAGATCATAATAAAATTAGAAGAGCACAAGAAAAAATAATGAAGGAAATATCTGATCAGCATGAAAAAGATTTAAGCGAGGGAGGGCTCTCCTGTCTTTTGTTTGATGGAAGAATAGATGACACAAAAGTTTTGCTAGAAGTAGAGGGAGTGAACAGAAAGTTTCCAGGTCTCATCAAAGAAGAACACTTCTCTGTCTGTTCTGAGCCTGGTGGTCTGTTTTTGTTTCACTTTGCTCCCGAAACTGAAGTAGAAGGGAAGAAACATGCAGAGGTCATTGCTGATCATATTTTATGTTGGGTTCAGGAGAGAGGACGTGGCAGTTCACTGCAGGCTGTTGGTGGAGATTCAACTGCAGTGAACACCGGATGGCAGGGGGGTGTAATGACGCATTTAGAGAAAAAACTAGGAAGAAGACTTGTTTGGATTGTATGTGATTTACATACAGGCGAGCTACCTCTTCGTCATCTCATCCAGGAACTTGATGGTCCTACAAAGAGCAACAACAAGTGGTCAGGTCCCCTTGGCATCATGCTGGATGAAGCAACACAACTAGAAATAAATACAACCTTTCCAAAGGTCGAAGTTGGCCCTCCCCTTCCGGCGTTGTCTGAAGGAGTCATCAAAGATCTCAGCACAGATCAATCCTATGCTTATCGTATTGCCCAAGCAATAAGATCAGGAGAAGTGCCTCAGTCATTGGCTCTCTTGGAGATTGGACCTGTCAGTCACAGCCGTTGGTTAACTACAGCTCTTCGTTTCTGCAGGATTTGGATTTCCAAACACGAATTGAAGGGCAAAGTGCTGAAGAATTTGAGGTTAATTGTTGAATTTATTATTGGAGTTTATCTTCCCCAGTGGTTTAGTGTGAAACTTAATCCTATGTGGGTGGATGGGCCCAATCACCTTTTGTTTCAATTGCAGCTAGTAAGAACACAGAGGAAGGTAGTGAGGGACATCGTGTTACCTGTGGCAAGAAGGTCCGCTTGGTATGCTCGATCAGAAGCAGTTTTGCAAGCAATGCTTTGCAGTCAATGTACCAATCTCCGAACCGAGGCTGTAGAAGTCATTCTAAAGATTAGAGGAACGCTAATAGATGACGACCAGTTGGGAGACTGTTCGTTTCATTCAAGAAAAGTTCCCCCAATAAACGTCAATGCCACCAAATTGTCAGAATTGGTTGACTTGAGTTTGGAAGTCTTAGAGCCACCATTGACAACAAGTCTAACTAGCCAAGAATTGAGAAACCTTAAAGAGACTCCAATGCAGGTGCCGAAGTGGCCTTCCCACACTCAAAGTGTGGAGAGATGTGTGAAAATGGTCACAGAAGCAGCGGGCCATGTTTACAGCCACGAGAGGCGAGAAGGTTACATCAAAGCACAAATAGCAAGCAGACTACTGATGACAAGAAACCAAAGCAAAGAGAGTATGAAGGCATTGGTTACTTTCAAATAGACTACGGATAATAAAATATAATAATTTGAAACTTGAAACAGTAACATGTGTGCAAACGCTGGTTATGTTATAAATTCACAAATATGTACATTTAAAAATCCATTTGATGTAGGTAGGACTTATTATAAAAAAAAATTTATGCCAGAATATTGTTTTGCATGCTTAAAGACTACAATAAATTGCTACCAAATTACTCGATTTTCAATTTAGCCAGTTCACCCCCTAAATTGACACACCCTAGTACTGAGCCTCACCCTCGTAGGTCATCTCGGCCACGTAGCCGGAGTCGCCGTTGACTGTGTAAGCCACCTTCTGAAGACGACCGTCGGGAAGCAGCACGTAGTAGGAGCCCTGGATGTCATAGCCGTCACGGGACTCCTGGTGGCCGAAGTCGTTGCCAGAGTAGTCGTCCTTCACGGCGTAGTTGAAGTCGTACTTGGCTGGCTCCTGTAATTGAGAAATGGTATAAATGAACTGTGTAAGAGAATGAATATTTTTTACGGTATGTTTCACCGAAGCTAATGTAATACTGTGTCGATGGTATTGACACATGTTCCTTTATGAATTATTTAAGTAAAGTAATTGTGGTTATGACAGTGGTGAAGGAGGCAGTTACCTCGTAGGCGGGTGCGGGGGTGTAGCCGTAGGAGGGCTGGGAGGGGGCAGCTACAGCCACGGCCACCAGTGCCAGCACGACGGCGGTCTGTGAGAGATGAAATTACCAACATGTCTTACAGGTGTCACTCTATAATGTGCTAAAGAAACTGGTCCACAAATGTGAGAATCGTAGCTGCGGATACAAAGATGTTGAGCGTTTTACAAATATACATTGTTATTTTATTTCCAATAATATTTGACTTCGTTTAATATTTTAATAATATTTCTCAAAGTTATATACCGAATGTGTTTACTTCTTCGGGAAGATTTTGGAATTATGTTGTATTAATTAAATTTGTTATTATAAGTCACATTTCATACTTATTAACAGTTAGTTAATGAATACATATATTGGGCGGTTCTCACCTGAGCAATCATTATAGTGATGTTTGGTTTCGTGGTGCTACTTGACTTGATGCCTGTAGATAAGGATGAAGGGCCTTATATGCTTGCCGGGGTGGCAGTGGCTGCGTGGGCGTGGCCAAGTGAAGAGCAGTTGGGAAAGGTGGGTTGAGGGACACGCCCACAATCTTACCTTGACCTTGGTGCTGGGAGGAAGAGAAAGCAGACGACGTTTATAATATATTATTTACTCAGAATCCAGAAGTCACAAGTTTTCTTCTTCACGTTACTATTACTATAAAGACGAGGATATATTAAAACCATGCTTGTGTTCTTCCTTATAAGTGTTAATGACACACTTCAGTACTCAGGTGATACACACAAGTAACACCGCCACGCTCTCAGCTCGTGACCAAGATGTATTTGTTAACTGTGGCAGGATGAACGAAGGTGAGAGAACTTCTCCTTGTGACACACTCAGATATCTGTTGCTATAAAGTTATTACTGTGCTTCAACAACGAAGGTCTTTATGAGCTTAGCAAGGTTATTGATGCACTAGTCCAACAACATTATGTGATAAACTGCTAGGGGAACATATGGGCACGGGGGTGGAGGAGACTGCAGTGGGAGCGGGTCAACAAAGTGAAAGATTACAGGGAAATAGCGTTAGGAATGATGACAAAACTAAAATAGACGGAATTAAAACCTAAACGCGGTATAGAGAGGACTCAGAACATGACTAACTTAAATGTCGACTACGCGAACAGTAGAAGTATGAGAAACAAAATGGATATTAGGGCCTTGGTATGTACTGAAAAAATCGATATAATAACATTCACTGAAACATGGATCAACCTAGACTCACGTGAGTTACCGGTCGATTACCAAATTGCGGGTGTTACAAATTGTTCCATACCGATAGGCAGACCAGGAAAGGAGGCGGAGTAGCAATCTATGGTATGTCAGGGATAATCTAAAGTGTGAAATAAATAAGGAAATAAAAGTTTAGCAGAATACAGAAACAATTTGGATAGAATTAATCGATGGTAGGGAAAAATTAATCATAGGAGTAAAATATAGACCTCCCAATCTTGATACAGTTAACGAGCGACTTATCTGGAATGAAATGCGCAGGGCTTCCATACACAACAAAGTCTGTATAGTAAGCGATTTTAACCCTGGCCAAATAGATTGGACTGACCTTACGGGTAACTCAGTATCAGAGGATTTCCTCGAAACGATCCAGGACTGTTTCCTAAGTCAACATATAACCGAACCCACCCGGGGTAATAATATACTCGATTTAGTTTTGTCGAACAGAGAAAACCTTATTAGCAATGTCGAGGTAGGGAACGAACTTGCAAACAGCGATCACAAAGAAATTAGATTCCAGTTAGATTTTCAGGTCAGACACAAGGAAAATTCCATTAAAGTCCCAGATTTCAGAAGGGCAAACTTTGATAGTTTAAAGCGGCAGCTGAAAGAGGGGGTGTCGCGCTTGGGCGTGAACCTGACAGATGACACCGACCTGATAACGAGATCTGAGATTGTCGAGTTCCACGACAATTTAAATAATGAGTTACTTAATGCACAAAGGCAGAACATACCATACAAAAAACTCAAATCAGACAACAATGACCCTAAATGGATAAATAATTATTTAAAGAACATTATTGGCCAAAGGAAGGCTATAGGTAGAAGGATAAACCGTGGCGAAATTTACCTCCGGGAGTATTATAAGGTATTGGCCGGTAGGGTTAAGACCGAGATAAGAAAAGCAAAGAGGAATAATGAACTGAAGATAGCAAGGGAGGCGAAGACAAACCCCAAAGGATTCTACCAAATGTATCAATCTAAAACACGAGATAAGATTGGACCAATACAGTCGGATACCGGCGAGCTAACTGATAACGATGGAGAAATGAGCAATGATCTGAATAAATATTTTTCAACAGTTTTCACCACCGAAAATTTAAACATGATACCCGAGGCACCGACTCTATTCAGAGAAAGTGAAGAAAACAAATTAAGAGAGATAGTAGTGACTAGTAACCATGTTAATAAGCAAATAGACAAACTGAAGCCTAATAAATCACCTGGTCCCGATGAGATATTTGCCAGAGTATTAAAGGAATGTAAGGAAGAGCTTAGTATGCCCTTAGCAAAGTTGTTTAACATGTCCTTAAAAACAGGTGTAGTACCAGAATCCTGGAGGATAGCGAATGTAATACCGATTTTCAAGAAGGGGGATAGATCACTATCCTCTAACTACCGCCCAATCAGTCTAACATCAATAGTAGGCAAATTACTAGAATCAATCATTTCAAACTCTATTCGAAACCACCTGGAGAAGCACAAGTTGATCAAAGATTCCCAACATGGCTTCACAAGAAGGCGTTCATGTCTAACTAATCTATTAACATTCTTTTCATCAGTTTTCGAATCGGTGGACGAGGGGCAAAATTATGATGTGGTATATCTCGACTTTAGTAAAGCGTTCGACAGAGTCCCCTACAAAAGACTAATTAGAAAGGTAGAAGCACATGGCATCAGAGGTAATATCCTTAAATGGATTAGGGCGTGGTTACGGGACAGGAAACAGCGAGTGAGCATAAACGGCACTAAATCGCATTGGAGCAACGTCACTAGTGGAGTTCCCCAAGGCTCAATACTTGGACGATTATTATTTATTATATACATAAACGACATAGATATTGGCATAGACAGCAACATAAGTAAATTTGCTGATGACACTAAAATAGGACGTGTAATTAAATCTGAAAAGGACTCCTGCAAAACTACAGGAAGATCTAAAAAAAATTTTCGAATGGTCGGAAAAATGGCAGATGAAATTCAATGCGGACATATGTAAAGTACTCAGTATAGGAGATGTAAACAGGGAAACCAGTTACCAGATAAACAACGATGCCATTGTGGAATCCGACTGCGAGAGATATTTAGGAGTAATGATAAGTAGGAATCTTAAGCCAAGTAAACAATGTGTTTTTGCTCGTAACAAGGCTAATAAAGTACTTGGGTTCATACAAAGGAGTGTTAGTTACAAGACTAGCGAGGTCATCTTAAAATTAAATCTAGCGCTTGTGAGACCTCACCTGGATTACGCAGTTCAGTTCTGGTCACCGTATTACAGAATGGATATAGAATCCTTGGAAAGAATCCTGAGGAGAATGACAAGATTAATCCCGGGCATTAGGAACCTTGAGTACAGAGACAGGTTAAACAATCTTAATTTGCACTCCCTTGAGAGACGTAGAGTGAGGGGCGACATGATAGAGGTGTATAAATGGAAGTCAGGGTTAAACAAAGGGGACATTACAAAGGTACTCAAACTATCCAACCAGGAGCGAACTCGCAACAACGGTTTTAAATTAAACAAATTTAGATTTCAGCATGAAATAGGTAAACACTGGTTTGGAAACAGAGTAGTGGATGAATGGAACAAGTTACCAAATATCATCATTAACTCGAATACGCTGGATAGCTTCAAACACAGGTTGGATGCTTATATGAGCAATAGGGGTTGGGTATAAACGGGACTGCCCAGTATGGGTCAATAGACCCGCTGCAGTTTCCTCCATTCTTATGTTCTTTGTTGTCACAAACCAGTCCATAATTGAGGTTAGCAGAGAAATAGAAAGGTTTGAAGAAGCAACAGGTGCTATATTAAACAAAGATAAAACAAGTATTATGGGCTTGGGTGAGTGGAAGAAGATAGATTTGTGGCCTGTGCTGTGGATGAGATCAGCAGAATATTCCAGAATTTTAGGCACTATATATTATGAAGATTACGAACACACTGTTGATATGAATTGGAACAAAATCTTGGAAAATATCAGCATTACTGTAAATTGTTTATCAAACAGAAAATTATCCTTGTTACCAAAAACCAATTATCGTGAACTCAAAAGTTTTGTCCAAGGTATGTTCCTATCTCATACATTTGCATCAAATAAAATTCACAGAAAATTGAATTATGTATTTTTAAATACATGTGGAGTGGTATGTACCAGCCAATTAAAAGACAAACTCTGTATTTACCTGTCAAACAAGGTGGTATTGGAGTAGTTAATGTGTTTTGTAAAGCAGCTGCTATATTATGAACAACTTTCATAAAAATTGCTTCAGACCATGAAAAGAGGAAATCTTTAACTCCATATTATACAAGTATAAGGACCAGCTATCTATTAGAAATGAAACCTACGGATAATGTTTCCTACTCGTCTCCACCTTATTATAGTATTGCAATCAATACTCTAAGAAGGTTAGCAAGGCATAGTAACTTTCCCAATGTCAAGAATAAAGATGTATACAATATGTTAATGATATGGACAAAACCTGCAGTTGAAGAAAAGTATCCGCTGTTTAAATGGCCTTTTATTTGGGAAAATATTACTTGTAAATATATGGATCCTCACCAGAGAGGCTTCACATATAGGTATATTCGTGAAACTCTACCAACAAATCAGAGACTAAAAATGTTAAACATAAAACAAGATGATAGTTGTGTAAGATGTGGTGAAGTAGAATATCCAATACAGTACATGTATTTTACTTCTGTTTCCATAACAAAGACATAATTAAATGGTTTAAAAATCTCCTGAATACAGTCTGCAATGTCAATAGCAAATTATTTCTACATTTCTTAATGTTTAATATTAACTGTAGTGATAATAAGGATAAGAATACAATGATCGTGCTAATGTCAGATTATATTTACTGTATGTGGTTAAGTAGGAAAGAAAATTATAATGTTAAGGAGACTATAGCCTTTATTAAAGGCAGGATATATTATAATAAATGGATGATCAAGTGTATTTTAAAAGAAAAGTCATCCAAATATTTCACTTACAAATATGTTAATATGTAATATGTATGCAGTAAATATGTAAATTGTAAATTTTTTAAATAATAAAATTTTTTTTATGCCAAATGAATGACTACGAGAACTTGTTTAACATATAAAGAACACAACAGTTGTATTAGTAGCTAGTTACCTTGTGCTGGTGGTCCCTAAAGACCTGGTGCCATACAGGGTCACCTCCTGACACTGTCTTGACACTTATGACA